ATCACTTTTTTGGTAGATTTTAGTGTATATAAACAGAAAATAATTTCAGTTTCAATATTTTGTAACCTTTTGCTAGGTAAATTTTAGCTTGAAATTTATCGAAAATCTAACGTACAGCTGCATTAGTGCATTACAATTAAATAGTGAACATTGCTTGACTTCATTCTTTAACAACCCAACTAACAATATTTTTTCATCTAGATTCTGATGCATTTATAAGTTGATAATATTTGCGATGGCTGCTTGTGTCAGACGAGGAACCAAAAATCCAGCCATCTCAGTCACTATCTTGGGTCTGGGGAGAGCTCTGAATGGAGTTGCCTACATTGAGAGATGCTTGAGACACGGTGTTTTAATCAGGCAAATCAGTGAAAAAACAAAGAACTCCAAACAAAGACATTGCCATGATATGACCAAAGCTGTCTTGGCACAGTACACTCTGGCTAACGCTCAGTTCAAGCCTCCAGTCATAACAAGTCAGAAGAAGATTAGTGAGAGATCATGCAGCAGTTGGGAAAAGGCAAGAGATATCTCTCTTGGGAGAGGAAAACTTGCAGTTAAGGACAGCTTTGCCAAGCAACTGGACCAGTTATTTGACATAATTACTTGCAAGTGCCCAATTGTTCTCTGTCCTGAGTTTGGATGCGATCGTGACTGTAAATCCGAGGCCCACATCTCCTGTATTTGCAAGCGTGAACTGAAGATTCCTGTGATCGAACTGGCATTTGTCAAAGCACAGAGAGAGAAGACTGGCAGTATAGGGGCTCTCATGATTTCTAGCCAAGATATTCCGGAGTCCAAGAGACAGGAGACTGCCACAGAGACACAGAAGAGGAGAAGAGTTGCCGAGGAAAAGAGACTTGAGAAGGCCCAGGGTGAGGTAAAAAAGGCCGATGATTGGAGTCAAGCTGATTCAGAGTTTAATGACTTCCCCCATGGCTGATCCGAGCTGACCAGGAGAATGGTGACTTTGTCCCTAACCCAGAAAATAATGATCCCAAACCTTCCAGGCATAAGATTCGAAATAGGAAAGATATCCCGAGCATAGCTCTGGACAGCATGCGACACCACACTGGTCTCAGAGAAACTGCAGAGATAGCAACAGCTGCCTGGACTGACGGTGGTTTGATAACACCTGATGATGTTCACCTGGTGATAGATCATAACAAAGTAAGGAGAGCTCAGGAGAAACTTGTTAGTAACCTAGAAGAGGAGTTTGATAAGTGGATAAGAGAAAATGGAATCAATTGTTTGTTCTTTGATGGGGAGAAGGGATGACACTAAAGTGTTCATGAAAGTTGGAGATCGACAAGTTGTTCCCTGCCATGGTGAAGGCGAGGAACACTACCCTGCTGCAGTGAACCAGGAGGGAAGTATTTGTGGCATTTCACTCCAGAGAAAGATGACATCAGGAAACCAGCTGGAGATAGTGGCAGATAACATTGTGAACTGGCTCAGAGAGGAACGTAGACCAGACCCTGCAGGCCATTGGAGGGGACAGCACCAACACGAACACAGGGTGGCAAGGGGGGGGTCATACAATGGATAGAGCGGAAGATTGGGAGGAAGCTGGTCTGGATTGTTTGTGACCTCCACACCAACGAGTTGCCACTCAGACATCTGATCCAGGAGCTGATGGCAAGACTCTTTCAAACAACAGATGGTCTGGTCCTCTTGGCAAGATGCTGGACTCTGCCACTGAGTTAGAAATAAATCCGAGCTTTGAAAAAATCAGTTGGCCCTCCACTGCTGAGCTTGAACATACTGTCATTGACGACTCCAGTACTGACCAGTACTATGGTTGGCTGATTTGCAGTGCCATCAAAACTGGGGTCATGCCTGATAGACTTGCTTACCTGCAGATAGGCCCAGTCTCACATTCTAGGTGGCTCACAACGGCTCTCAGGTTCTGCAGAATTTGGGTCGCTCATCATAAACTGAAAGGGAACCAGCTTCACAACCTGAGACTTATTGTCCAATTCATCGTGAGTGTCTACTTCCCAAATTGGTTCAACACCAAGGTCAAGTCATCGTTCTCCGAAGGTCCGAGGCATGTTCTCTTCCAGCTTGAGCTCCTGAGGAGTCAGCCAAGGAAGGTTGTTCAGATTGTGGAGCAGACTGTGAGGAGATCTTCTCCTGGTATGCCTATCCCGAGGCAGTTCCCAGACAATGCTCTGCAAGGATGAGGAGGAGAGAAGAGTGGCAGTCAAAAAGATCTTGGATATGAGACTGGCGGGAGAAAGGATCTGGGCATGACGTAATCAGTTATGACGATTCTTCAGGTCAGGAAGACTCCTGAAGTCAATCTAGGTGCCAAGACCCTCACTGATCTCATAGATCTGGATAACATCCAGGCTGGCAGTGAGCCCCCCTCTTACCTGCAGCCTCACCAATGTTCAAGCCAGAGCTTTCCTGGACAACCCCATGCATGTCCCTGCCTGGCCCTCGCACACCCAGAGTATAGAGCGTTGTGTACAGCAAGTGAGCGAGGCCAGCAGTCACGTGTACAGCCAGGAGAGGAGGGAAGGCTACATCCGAGCTCAGGTGGTCAGCAGGGAGGTGATGAGTAGAAACAGAAGCAAGAAAGACATGTTCTCTATGGTGTGCAGCAACACCGGGTCGTAGTAGTAAAACCGGTTTTTGTATTTGATGATTTTGTTTTCTAAAGGAATATTAAATTTAATAAATGTGTCAAGATCATTCGTTTCACTATTCTGGATCATTTTCATCCTAATAAATTAACCTGATACATTTACTTTACTTTAAATAAGCTATTTAGTGGTGTTGGTAAAAGGGTGGGAATACTGAATTTTCATAAGATTTCAAGTTAAAATTTACCTAGCAAAAAATGAAAACTTTTCAAATCTGAAGATATCACATGATTCTGCACATAGAACTACATCATTAATACCATGGGCCGATTTTTCAAACTCAATAAAAAAAAATTCGCCTCCGTATGACACACCCTAGTGTGCCATAGCACTAACACTTTGTTAAAAAGAGGTCCAATAAGCCTGGGCTAGATATATGCTGATGTAAGTTGTAATGGTGTAGTAATAGTACATTTTATGCATTATTTTGCCTTTTTTTAACCTCGGCTTCGATGGTTCGGAATTTTCTCTAATCTGGAACCAGTCTAGTCCCAAGCTTCCCCGATAAGCGAGGTACAACCTGTATATTCTCATATGATCAGCCACTTACAGTGTACAGTATGTTTTTTCATAAGTAATACAACATTAAATAATAGAAAAAATATGATATACAGGCATCCATTACAGAATTTTACCCTTAAAATATTTTGAAATTATGACCAAAAATTTGGGGTATGGAATAAAAACTTGCCCATACATAATTTTTAAACATTAAAAAAAAATTGATTTTTAGCTCAAATTTTTGCCTCCCCAGTTGCCAGCAACTATCACAATAATGCCGCTGTTCAGTTGGAATTCTTTCCCTAGCTTGTGTTCAGTTATGCGTCTGTGTTTAGGAATGTATTTATCCTTATGGAATTATTAAGATTTTCAAAAGAAAACATTGCAACACAAAACAAAAAATTTCACAGAAATTTAAAAAAAAAAATTATTTTGCGTGGATTCTGGTGGTAGTTACAAAATGGTTGCTGGGCGGCTTGCCTCACCAGCTGGTAGCAGCCACAAAAACAATGGCGCTGCCCAGTTTGAATTCTTTTCCCAGTTTGTGTACAGTTATGTGTGAGTGCTATTTTGTATCCTTAATCAACAAGAGTATAAAGAGACCATCAAGTTCAAGTGAAAGTAGTGGCGATAAAAGATTCCCTAAAGGAACTGCGTTGAACAATAACTATGATGTTTTAAGGGGGTAATTCCCACTAACACCAATTGCACCACCTCACCTCACCTCACCTCACCACCTCCTGCAGCACTCAATATCATTTCTGGTAAGTAAAATTTGAGTGTTTTGTTCATTCTTTATCATGTTACATCATGAAAGACTCAGTGTACAGTGGAGTCTGGACTTACGCAGTTATGGTTAATGCGTTTGGTCATTTACGCGGTGCCTTGCCAGAATCGAAATGCTTTAATTACGCAGTAAATTTGGTCATTTGAGCAGGTGAAGTATAATTTGTTTACTGTATTTACTGAAGATATTTGTTTTAGCTCATAAAATTCATACAAATTACCCGGCCAGAATATAATTTACATTGCTGGAATTCTTATAAGATTGTGATTATTTTAAATATAAACATCATAAAATTTGCATTAGACATACAAATTTTTGATATAATTGAAGAATTTAGATTAGAAAGAGCAAAAATTTTATCTTTTGTGACAAAATATATGACGTTTATATTCAAAATATTCCTTGCCTTGCAAGGAATCCAGCAATGTCAATTATATTATCCTGACTTTAGTCTGAGGTATTATTTATTACTAAAAATGTAAGCCTACTGTTTTCACCCAAACATTTCTCAGAGAGGGAGGAGCCAGCGAGCGTGGGAAGAGGGGAGGGGGGAGGTTGAGTCCATTTTTGAATGCACATTAACCGGCGACTGTATTTCTCTTAAATATTAATTGTGTGTGCATACCATCATAAAATTAAGATGTTATTTTTACTACAACGTAGGTATTGTGTCTCTAATTCAATTAATCCCATATGTTCTGTTATTTCATTTACGCGTTTCTCGTTATACGCAGGCCTCCACGGGTTCAATTGACCGCGTAAATGCAGACTGTACTGTAGTTAAACAATCTTTGTAACTTATAATGCTTACTTGGATAAAAAGTCACAGCAGATTTGTTCTGCCCAATATTTTAAAAGAATGCAAACCCCATGCAGAGAGAAAGAAAATGTGTAGCTCTCTTTCTGGCTACTTACTGTACTATGATAAACTTCAGTGTCTCCTGCTATTTATATCTACAAACTTTCAATAAATACAGCTCATGTAAAACTTCTTCCATATTGTTGATGTTGGCATAATCAAGTTTTTATCACACTTCATGAAGTAATTTTGGAGCACTTACGTGAAACCATTGAGAAGTACAAGATGTTGAGGCTTGCTTGCATAGTTGTTCTTATTGTGGCTGGCTTGGAAGTCACCCCCAGCAGCATCAAATAAGCGGTAAAGTTCAACCAGCTTGTGGGCTGATACAACTGACAGTTGGATGTTGGTCTGAAATAAATTATAAATCAGCCAAGAACCATCAACAAACTGGCTGCCATATTATTTTTTAAGATCATACTCCAAACAAAATGCATCTCTCATTTAAAAGACTCCGTACACCAACATTTGAAGGGCTTCACTGGTAGCAGTTATAATAAATACAGTGATCCCTCGGTTAACGAGATTTCGGTTAACGAATTACCTTCCATAAGATTCTTCACTTTGGTTAACGAGCAATCCCTCGATTACGAGCGCTCCTCAACATGTTTTCGCTTGCTCACTAGCTGTCGTATTAGTCCGCCAATACAGTAATCGGTTCTAGGGCTTAAATTCCTTACTATTTTAGTAAATATCAAGAAGTTTGTACTATTCAATAATATTAAAAGTCTTATATTAAACTTTTTAGTCATTTTAACAATTACTTAACATAATTGAAGCACAGGGAAACTAGTTTTTAGCGCGCCAAACAGCCTGTCAACACACCAAACAGGCGTCAGTCTCTGTGTCTTTTCAGTGGAGGTAACATCTTGCTTTAGACTCTCTTCAACATAAACGATTTTTTCCGTTTTTACAGTGAAATTATTGGTCATTTTGAAATTTATTTTACATATGGATGATACAGTAGAAGTCCAAAAATCCGGACTGCTTGGGGATTGGGTCGGTCCGGATTTTCGGATTTTCCGGATTCTCAGGCAGTACTTTTAAAATTAAAATTTAAGGAGGAATAAAGAAGAGATGAACAGGTACATTTTGATAGTTTATTCATTAGCAAATATTGCATGCTTCATTTATCAAAACGAGCAGTTTTAATGAAAAAACTGTGAATTCTAGAATTTTATTCTTTGCCTTTTTTATATCATAAATTGTAGACTTTCCAATGTCGTATGTTTCCATTAGAACAGTATTGCTCACACCATGTACTAGTTTCTTAATTATTTCAAGTTTGTCACTCAATTTCAACGTGTTCTTCTTTCTCTTCACACAACGAAGTTTATCTACTTTAGGAGCCATTATTATGGGCTTGTACAGTAATCTGTAAATGGAAAGAGTAGGACTCAAAATATTGTTATATTACAATGGTATTCTATTCATACTGTGCTTGATATAATGCATTCACGGAAATGTAATATTTTTGCTAAAATGACGTACGTATTACAGTGGAAAGTGGGATCAAATCGTGACGAAAACAATGACTTTCGCTTTCTTTCGTTCAAAAGATGTTACCGTAATCGCTTTTCGAATGGTTTAGTTAAAAAACTGTTGTACTGTATTACAATAATATTCTATCCTAATTGACTTGAATAAATACTACGATACCATATTTCTGAATATTTTCATTAAAATCCATCAAAATCATTTTCCCTGTCATCGTCTGCAGCACCAAACTGCTTCTCCCAGTCTTTCCTTGAACAGGGCTAGAGGGTACGTGTTTTTCGAATCGTTTTCAGTTAAAAAACTGTTACATCACACGTATATTTTACCTAAACTGCGCCTGAATGAATATATTCTCGGAAATAAATAGTAGTTTTGCTGAAATGTGATGTATTTCAATGTAAAATAGGATAAAATACATGACGAAAACAAAAGACTTTACCTAACCTTCCAATGTTCTTGAGATGTTACTCGTTTTTTTTAATAGTTTTAGGTTAAAATACAATGATATTCTATTCATACTGTGCTTGATATAATACATTCACGGAAATGTAATATTTTTGCTGAAATTACGTACGTATTAAAGTGGAAAGTGGGATAAAATCGTGACAAAAACAATGACTTTCGCTTTCTTTCGTTCAAAAGATGTTACTGTAATCGCTTTTCGAATGGTTTAGTTAAAAAACTGTTGTATTACAATAATATCCCCTCCTAATTGACTTGAATAAATACTTGAATGGAAATATACAATATTTTTGTTGAAACTACCCACGTTTCAGTGTAAAGTGTCGTAATAATAAATGGTAAACAATTTGCCTTCGGCACTCGTGTTTCAGTTTATAGGACGTAGAGCGTTTTTACTAAAGGTTTTGTTGTTCCATTACCCTCAAAAACGTGAGTCGAACTATAAACGAGGAATACAGTGGGGTATGCTATAACGAATCAAATTGGTTCTAGAACCTTGTTCGTTATAGCATTCGTTCGTTATAGGATTAATCCGTTCCAGGCCCCCAAATACAACCACTTAACACTGAAAAATATAATATAAAATTGTAAAAATTGTAAAAAAGTGCATAAATATGCATCTAAACCCCTGAAATAAAGAATATCATTAATACTTGAAATAAAAAAACAATAAATTAGTAAAAAAAAAAATTTTTTTTTTTTAAATAATGTTCGTTGTAGGAGTTTCGTTCGTTATAGCATTCTCAATTTTATAGGTACAACCGTTCGTTATAGGAATATTCGTAGTAGGATCCGTTCGTTATAGCATACCCCACTGTATCATAAATTAACAATTTCTTGGTCAAAAAATCAGGGTCGACCGATAAACGAGGGGGGGTTATAGATGAGTATATACGGTATGTTGTCACAGTTTGATTGCTCGTTTTAAAGTGGCGACCATGTGGTCGCTTGTTGTCGCTGTGCAGCTGTGGCGCTCACGCATGCGCACATACACACAAAAGCCCGTTAAAAAAAAAAATAATAATAATAATAATTAGTTTTCCAAAAGTCCGGATTCTCGGGTGGTCCGGATTTCTGGCATCCGGATTTTTGGACTTTTACTGTATGTAGCGCAGTGCAGTGTTGATTTAAAGAAAATATTCTTTATTTACAGCAATTAAACTAAAATATCACGTGTTGAAATTGTTTTTGAATCCAGCATGGGTCCCAAGAAATCAAGAAAGGCGATTTCAATCCAGGTGAAACAGGAAATTATTAAGAAACATGAAGAAGGCATTAGAACAAATGTGCTTAGTAAAGAATATGGCATGTCAGCATCAACTGTGTCGACAATTCTTGCACAGAAAGACAAATTCAAGGAAGTGAAAGTGAAAGACAAATCTACCAGAGTGTTTAAAGGTAGATCCCTAATAGCAGAAACAGAGAGGTTACTTCTTATTTGGATTAGGGAAAAACAAATGAAAGGTGATTCAGTTTCAACTGAATTTCTTTGTGAAAGAGCCAGGGAGATTTACAAACATTTAAAGGCAGATCAACCTGGTTCTTCAGGCACAGAATTTGAAGAGTTAAGGGCCAGCAAGGGCTGGTTCGAAAAATTTAAGAAAAGAAGTGACATTTTTAGTGTTGTTAGGCATGGTGAGGCTGCCAGTGCTGATAAGGAAGGAGCAGCAAAATTTTTAGTGGAGTTTAAAGAGCTGATAGATGAAGAAAATTATCTTCCACAGCAAGTGTTCAATGTGGATGAAACTGGGCTGTTATGGAAAAAATGCCCAAAAGGACATTCATCACCAGAGATGAAGCCTTTTTACCTGGGCATAAACTCACTCAAGCAACAAAAAGTGGTAAGAAGACGGCTTGGAGTTTATTGGAAGTCCAACCGTAAGGCATGGGTGACAAGACAGCTCTTTAATGAATGGGCTGTTGAGGTGTTTTGCCCTTCTGTGAAGAGCTACCTAACCACCAATAAACTCCCTTTAAAGGCTCTTCTCCTATGGATAATGCCCCTGGTCATGACCCTCAACTTGCCAGCACTTAGAATCTCAATTTGACTTTGTCAAAGTGTTGTTTTTGCCTCCCAACACTACATCAATCATACAGCCAATGGACCAGAATGTGATCAGCAACTTTAAGAAGCTGTACATGAAGAAATGTTCAGGTGTCATCAGGCAACTTCCAATGATCCTGAACTAACACTGGCACAGTTCTGGAAGACACAATTTAACATCCTGGAGTCTGTAAAATTGATTGTGTCCTCATGGCAAGAAGTCTCCACTAGATCCTCAATTCTAAATGGAAAGCACTCTGGCCATCAGTAGTCCATGATTTTGAGGGATTTCAGGAAGAAGCAGAGTTGGACCAGGAGACTGTGTCCATTGGTCAGTCATTGGGCCTTGAAGTGGAGGAGGATGATGTAGAAGAGCTTGTGATGTCTCATGAGCAGGAACTTACTCCTGAAGACTTGCAGCAACTGGATGAGATGTTAGAGGCTGACAGTGGTGAGGAGGAAAAGGAAAGTGACGACCATGTGTCAACTTCAGATTCAAAAGATGTTGTTGACCACTGGGAGAAGTTCAGGAAACTGGCTTCAAGGCACCCAGATGTGGAAAAATCAGAACTAGCTTTGTTGTAATGTTGAGGACACAGTGGTCTCCTTCTTCAAACATCAGTTAATGATGAGGAGGAGAGATGCCCCACAGACAAAAATTGACCGTTTCTTCACTAAAAGGCAGCGGGAACAAGATACTAGCCCTCAGCCTTCCACTTCAAGAAGGAGAGAGGATTTTCCTGCCGCAGAATCTGTCAGTCCAGAGGTTCCTGACATTTTCATGGAAGGTGACTCACCTTCCAAGAAGCAGTAAAATGCTTCTCCTACACTTCCACTTCCTTCTCTTCTCCCTTCTCCTCCTCCTCCTCCCACTTCAAATTCACATCAGCATCATCCAGGAGCCTTCTACATACACACCTCAAAGTAAGTGTACTTTACTACCTTTTTTGTTGACTTTAAGCAATTTTCGGTGAGCTGGAACCAATAACCCAAAAACCCATTGAAACAATGGTTTCGGTTAACGAATTTTTTGGTTAATGAGCAACCTTCTGAAACGAATTGTGCTCGTTAACCGAGGGACCACTGTATACCAAATTTTAGTCTCAAAAAATTTTTACTAATAAAAAAGTAGGCTTCCCGTATTCTGAGAACAGTGAACTGGTATCTCCTGTATTGTACAGTATACAGCATGCCCTTACAATTCGCATTCCTTGATTATTCACAGACAACACCCTGGATGCACCCAAGAATGTCTGCGGGTAGTTTTAAAGTTGCCAGCATTTACGTGGCCAGGACAGGGAGCTCGAGAATTTTGTGGCATCCCGCAAGGTGTCTCTCTTGTCCCAGG